ACCAAAACAGAGATATAGACCAATGGAACAGAACAGAGTCCTCAGAAATAATACCACACATCTACAACCATCTGATCTTTGACAAACTTGACAATAACAAGAAATGGGGAAAGGATTCCCTATGTAATAAATGGTACTGGGAAAACTGGCTAGCCATATGTGGAAAGCTGAACCTGGATCCCTTCCTTACACCTTACACAAAAATTAATTCAAGATGGATTAAAGACTTAAATATTAGACCTAAAACCATAAAAACCCTAGAAGGAAAACTAGGTAATACCATTCAGGACATAGGCATGAGCAAGGACTTTATGACTAAAGCACCAAAAGCAGTGGCAGCAAAAGCCGAAATAGACAAATGGGATCTAATTATACTAAAGAGCTTCTTCACAGCAAAAGAAACTACCATCAGTGTGAACAGGCAACCTACAGAGTGGGAGAAAATTTTTTACAATCTACCCACATGACAAACGGCTAATATCCAGAATATACAAAGAACTTAAACAAATTTACAAGAAAAAAATCAAACAACCCCATCAAAAAGTGGGTGAAGGATGTGAACAGACACGTCTCAAAAGAAGACTTTTATGCAGCCAACAGACACATGAAAAAAATGCTCATCATCACTGGCCATCGGAGAAATGCAAATCAAAACCACAATGAGATACCATCTTGCGCCAGTTAGAATGGCTATCATTAAAAAGTCAGGAAACCACAGGTGCTGGAGAGGATGTGGAGAAATAGGAACACTTTTATGCTGTTGGTGGGACTATAAACTAGTTCAACCATTGTGGAAAACAGTGTGGCGATTCCTCAAGGATCTAGAACTAGAAATACCATTTGACACAGACATCCCATTACTGGGTATATACCCAAAGGATTATAAATCATGCTGCTATAAAGAAACATGCACACATATGTTTATTGTGGCACTATTCACAATAGCAAGGACTTGGAACCAACGCAAATGTCCATCAATGATAGACTGGATTAAGAAAATGTGGCACATATACACCACAGAATACTATGCAACCATAAAAAAGGATGAGTTAATGTCCTTTGTAGGGACATGGATGAAGCTGGAAACCATCATACTGAGCAAACTATCCCAAGGACAGAGAACCAAACACCGCATGTCCTCACTCATAGGTGGGAATTGAACAATGAGGACACTTGAACACAAGTGGGGAACATCACACACTGGGGCCTGTCGTGCGATTTGGGGATAGGGGAAGGAAAGCATTAGGGAGACATACCTAATGTAAATGATGAGTTAATGAGTGCAGCACACCAACATGGCACATGTATACATGTGTAAGAAACCTGCACGTTGTGCACATATGCCCTAGAACTTAAGTATAACAAAAAAATTAGATAAACTTGAGTATGAATACATTGGCTTCATGATCAAAGAGCTAACTCTTGGATAAAATAGTTATTTAATGAATATTCTTTAAAGAATAGCATTATACTCCAAGCAAGACTATCTTAGAAACAAAAATAATGTTGAATTCATCAACTGACTCCTCTAAAATGGTAATTTTCAGTGAATATTGGAGAGATATCCAAATGTAGAAGCTTATTAGTATCCAATGCTTATAGCAGTTTTATTTTGTAGAAGTATGTCAAAATTAATAATGGATTATGTTTTTTATTGAGGTTTATATATTATACTTTGTTGCCATGAGTGGATGAAAAAATGTTCGGAAGGCTAAACTAGAGAATACAAGAAACTGAAGTGAAATATTATACCACATGGGTGTGAGAAGAAATGAATATTATTCACTCAGATTCAGGAAACATATATCCAAACTGATCAATTTAGGACACTTGCACTGAAGAGACATGAAATGTACATTAAACTGAAGTGTCACTGTAATTGTGTACCTTCTCAGTTATTTGGCAGTTTAAAGAGCATGATGAATGTTTGCAGTGTAATGGTCTAAATCATTCAGATATCTTGAATGAAAGACATGCACGTGCATGTACCACCTGCTTTGACATTAATTCCCAGGTGATTGAGTTTCTCTTCTGATTTTGGATCACATTTGTCCGCATCATTCTGCATATCCTTATTGATATTGACACTGTTCTATTTTAGTTTTAGATGTATGAAAAATCATATGTTGGAAATTGTTAGTGTATATTTCATGAAGCTTGTATTCCTGTTTTTTTCAGTGTATTTCAGTCATGTTCCTGTCTTAAGACACAAAGTGTAAAACATCAAAACCTACAGTAATATAGGCAGGTAGATGCAGCTGCATGCTAACACTGCATGAATATATGGATAACTTTATTGTATATACATATGATTGATAATGTGCCCCTTTTGTTTCTCAGTGTCTTCTCAGAAACCACCGGCCTGGAAGGTAATTAAACTCTCATTTATATTTTGAACTATTAACTGTATAGTCTATGAAATATACTTTATGTATTGATTATTTTGTTTAAAATCCCATTCAGGCTACAAGTGACAAGAAAGATTCTCTTGTGAATATAGCCACAGAAATAAATGATGGACAACAATCTGGGACAGGTAATTTTGCAAAACACATCTGGTGTCATGTTCAATCAAGATAGAAGAGGACTTCCCTTCCCCAAGTAAATCAGCTTGGGGTTTGTTGAAGCTGCATGTTCTGATTCAGTACACCTGAG